AAAAAAAAGAAAGTTGGCTGTAAAATCAGGGTAAGGATTCTCTAAAATAAAAAAGAAAAAAAAGGTATCCTAATTTAGATGATAAATTATATGACCATATATAATATATCCTATATACATAAAATAGTGCCTGGTATACGGCAGGTGCTCATTAGCTATTTATTAAATATATAATGGTCACCTCATTATAACCTTACAAAGAATTGTAGACATTTTTCTACATGATGAATTAATTCCTGAAAAACCTCACATTAATCAGATCTTATACTGACAATAACAGGTTTGGGGCAAATACAAAACCTATAAGACTTTGTAACCAGAGCTGTAATAAAAGCAATTAACTGGCGGAGGCAAAACACTGGAAAAAAATGGAATGGAAATATCTGGTTAAAGGTGCTGAGATAATGTAGATGCAGTGGAGCTCTGAGCCAGGGGGGCTGCCATCAAGGTGAGCACAGGAGGAAATGCAACCTGTGATGAGCTGAGAGCCACGCAAGGCCAAGGCTGGGGGATACACATCAAGAAGGCACACGTATGTACATTCTCAGTCTTAATTTTAATAGAGCTGAAAAGACTCCCACATATGCAACAGCTGAGCTAAAAGCTTTTTCTTGTTGATAATTATAATTCTATTTCTACTCTTCCAACACCTCTTACCTAAGGAAAAAAAAAATCACATATTAATAAACAGAATTTCTACATTATACTGCTATCATTCTCCTATTTGCCAACTGCATATGTGCTAATTCATGCTAAAGAGAACACTACTGGCTCCCAAACTTGCCAATTAGGGGTCCACAAACTACGTCCTGTGGGCCGAATCCAGCCCACTGCATGTTTATTTAAATAAGGTGTTATTGGAACCCTGCCATATTTACTTGTTTACATATTGCCTATGGCTGTTTTTGCCCTACAAGACGGAGCTGAGTACTTGTGAGTTAAGATCTTACGGTCTGCAATGCCAAAAATATTTATTCTTGGCTCTTTAAAGAAAAAGCAGACTACCACTTTAGATCATCATGAATTTACAGAGGGGGCACAAAATGTCCTCAAAAAAGATGTTTCCCCAACTCCCTGGCCAAAACTCAAAAAAGGAAAGGTACAGGGAGTATTTGTCAATAAAGAATGGACTCTTGGGAGAACAACGTGTCCCACAAGCCTTGCAGCAGACATGATAGTGGCAACATTCCTTCTTTTTTTTTTTGATAGGAAGTCTCGCTCTTGTCACCCAGGCTGGAATGCGGTGGTATGATCTCGGCTCACTGCAACCTCCACCTCCTGGGCTCAAGCAGTTCTTGTGCTTCAGTCTCCTTAGGAACCTTAGTAGCTGGGACTACAGGTGCACACTGCCACACTCAGCTAGTTTTTGTATTTTTAGTTGAGACAGGGTTTCACCATGTTGGCCAGGCTGGTCTCAAAGTCCTGACCTCAAGTGATCTGCTCACTTCGGCCTCCCAAACTGTTGAGATTACAGGAGTGAGCCACCGCACCTGGCCAACATTCCTTCTTATAACTTACAAAATCAGCAGCCCAGCTCCACAAAAGCAATAACTGCTGCCATCACTTTCACTCCTGCCTAAATTTCCAGTAGTGTGGGAACAAAGATCACCTGGGACATACATGTAGCCTAAAATTTAAAGAACTCTTTCTGTATTATGAAAATCACTGTCATATGTGAATTTCATAATTTCTTAAAATATGTTATCTATTTGCTTCCTTGCTAGTACTCATGTTTTAATTTATGGCTATGATATTAAGGGAGAATCAGAGTTTTATCCTTTTAGGAACCTGAAGGAAGTAGGTCTGATTAAGAGAAAAAACTAGTACTTCCTTCTCCAGTGAAAAACACTATCAATAAGGTTTCAAAGCCTTTTTTTTTTTTTAAGATTTGAAAACACTTATTTTACTGTCTTCAACAACAACAAAAAACAGATAGGGGAAGTCCAGAGGACTTAGAATTGAAGCAGCTCTATACAAAAATGAAGATGGTACAATGATGTGACTTCAAAGAAAATGACTAAAACAAAATTTTACAAACATCTTCATGTTTGTAATGTATTAACGCACAAAATATCAAAAATACAAAGTCTGGGTTTCTTCCCTGTAGGTTTATGATAAACTATCAATTTTCTATATAATGCATTCCCTTTTTTTTTTTTTTAATAGAGATGGGGTCTCGCTATGTTGCCCAGACTGGTCTTGAACTCCTGAGCTCAAGCAATCCTCCCACCTCGGCTCCCAAAGTGCTGGGATTACAGGCAAGAGCCACTGCACTTGGCCTTAATGCATTTACTTTTGTAAGCCTTCTTTGTTTAGAAGTATACACTACAAGTACATACATGCTGGTATTTTACCATGAAAATTTCATTTTTCATCTCAAACTAGTGACTTGCCTTTTTACCCATACTTATACACAAGTAATACCTTTCTAGTCGTACATTTTAATCAATATGTATTTTTTAAATCTTGATTTTTAAATGAATCTTTTTAGTACTATGACATGATGGGCTTCATTTAACAGCTGAAGCATGATATGGTAACTACATTGTACTGTTTAATTCACAACTGTAGGAAAGTGTTTGATTTTTAAAACATAACCAAGATGAGGCTGGACAGTAATAAACACAGAAACACTAGAAAACAATGAGTGAATAAATAATACAATTTTTCATCAGTGGCTATTCATTGTTTTGCTTTTGGAAACCTGGAAGAAATTGTCTTCTTTGATTTTCAAATGTTCTGGTAAATCTAGTCGTTTCTTAGCTTCCTCAATATCACCTTGAATTGCTGAAATAAGTGACTCTAAAGAATCAAAGTTCTTTTCTGGTCTGAGGTAGCCCACAATGGCCACATTGAGGATTTCCCCATAGAAGTCCTCTTTGAAGGTGTGCATGGTATGTTTTTCCATGGACTTCTTAATATTCTCGTAATATAGGTTCCAGCCTATGCTCACCACCATCTTATGGACATCTCCACTTCCAACACTGGCCCAACCATAATAAATGACAGTGGATATATTAGCTGGAAGATTATCTACCACTTGCTCAGGAAAATTAGCTGTGGGGATGCTCAGCTGCTTGGAGCCGTGGCCGAAGCCATGCACCACTTGACCGCGGCAGAAGGCAGATGCCTCATAATGTAGTCCGCTTGGGGCATGGACTGTGATTCGGTCCGCGCGTCCTGCGAAGCCGCCGTCGACGCGGTGTCTGGATCCCCGACCAGCCAGGGAACAGGAATGTGAGCTCTGCCTGCCGCGCGGCGCACCAGGGGCTGAGCCATGCCAAAGACACGCCGCAGCGGATCCCTGATGCCGCCGATCCCACAAAAGCCGCCCAGCAACTCCCAGCAAAGCTGTCTCTCGCAAAGCCTTTAAATAGGTAACATAGACCATAAAACATCTGGAGTTTTAAAGAAACCACCTATGTGTTCCTTAAAGTATGAACAGTTCTCATATTGTGATTTTATCCAATAGTTTTTCAACTTCCACTCCTTCTACTAGTTCATCCTACAGATTGCTGTGAATTAATTTTACTTTTCTGGATCCTTTTAGATAATCCAACATTTTTCAAATTGAAGTGGTTATTGTTTAAGCCACTCTTCTCTCATTTATCAAATGGTGAAATTTATCCCATTTCTCAATCTAAATATAACCCTTTTAAATAATCTGTTTGTTGGTATTCCCCCTTTGGGGGCACAGCAACCTACAATGCTAGACTGCATAAAATGTGTCTCACTTCTATAAACAAAATGATGACCTTAGTTGCTGAGGTTTCATGGAGCATTTAGGTTCTGAGTAAGCACAGGGCCAGGAGGACCAGGCCTACAGTGAAAGGGAAAGCTGGAATTGCTGGGTTGTCACCTGGTTATATCAACACAGGAGGGGAAGGAAGGTTCACTGAGCTTCCAAAGATCTCCCCCACACATGGTAGGTACTTACATCTCTCACAGGTTTGTCTTCCTTACTAAAGTCATAAACTCTTCCGAGTTTTTAACAGTAAGGACAATATTTATCATTGTATTCCAAATGCTAAAGCTTATAGTCTATGGGGGATAAAACAATAATCAAATAATTGCTCTAATGAAAGTGTGAGATAAATGATCTGAGGGAGAGAAACAAACTTTTGTGAGAGTACATTGCAAAGGACTGACTTGACAAAGGAGTTCAGAAAATACACCCTAAAGATGTAAGCTGATAGTTGAAGGCTGAAGCAGGCATGGACTAGGAGAAGGGGGACTGGTAGGGTATAGTATTTCATTTAGAGAAGACATCAATGCGAAGGACCTATGGCAGAAGAAAGAGAAAGCTGAGAAGCTGGAATACAGAGGGCAAGGAGGGAGAGTTATACAAGATACGGCTGGATGAGGAAGGTAGAGGAGAGACCATATAAGGCCTGAGGTCATGGTAAAAAGTTTGGTTTTCATTCTTTGAATAATACCAAGTGATAATAGGATATTAAGCTAGGAGTGTAGGGTGTGTGTGTGTGATCAGGAGTTCAAAACCAGCCTGATCAATATGGTGAAACCCCATCTCTACTAAAAATATAAAAATTAGCTAGGTATGGTGGTAAGCACCTGTAATCCCAGCTACTCAGGAGGCTGACGCAGGAGAATTGCTTGAACCTGGGAGGTGGAGGTTGCAGTGAGCTGAGACCATGCCACTGCACTCCAGCCTGGGTGACAGAGCGAGACTGTCTCAAAAAAAAAAAAGAAGAAGAGAAAATGAATGCTGCTACAAAAAGGACTGCTGAAGGCTTCATAATCTGTTAGCTGAATAAACACTAAAGTTTATTTGGTGGAAGGAAGTAAATTAAATTGATGTTAAGCTGGGTACACCGGCGCATGTGTAGTCCCAGATACTTAGGAGGCTGAGATGGGAGGATCATCTGAGCTCAAGAGTTTGAGTCCAGCCTGGGCAACATAGAAAGACTCCGTCTTCAAAAACAACAACAATAACAAAGAAAAGCACACAACTAAAAGAAATAATTAATAAGACAAATCAATTCCTGGTCAGGATGCCAGTAAAATCAAAGTCTGAAAGACTGATGATGAAAATTAGCCAAAGAAATGGAGTCCAAGGCTGCAGATGCTAAAGACCATCAGGACTCAGCAATAACCTTAGTCCCTCCTCATCCTAAGGAGTTGCAAAGCAAAGTACAAGCTACATGAGTTGCTTGGCATTCTTGAAACACAAGAGCAGAGGAACAGACAAAGAGGCATAGAAAATCATGCTATATTCTACTGCTGTAATGATTTTGGTCTAGGTGGACACATGGCAAAATAAAAGACCTTCAATCTGAACGGAGAGAATCCCTAGATCCCGAAGCTGCTGGTTGTTGCTCTGAGCAAGGATCCGTAGCCGCTCCGCTGCTTCCCGGGGGATATTGAATGTCACACGCACACTGTTCCAGGGCTCCACCTTCTGTACTTTTAGCTTGCTGGACTCTTAATTGTGAAAGAAAAAGAATTATATTAGTAATCTTTTAGCCACCAGAGGACATGGAATTAAAAAACAAACCAAAAGAGCAAAAGAATAAGGTGGGGCACCAGCTTGGAATAGCTAAGAGAGCATATGCTTTGTAGCTACAGATTTCAAATATAATCCTAGCTTTGCTGCTTAGCACCTGGGTGACCATGAACCAGCTATTTAACCTTTCTGAAACTTATCTTTTTCTTCTCTAAAACTATGAAAAACCTACTTCATGAGATTTTGGGTATAAATGAGATAATACATGCAAAAACCTAACACAGTACCTGGCACACCACAGGCAATGAATAAATGGAAAGCAACAAGAAGGAGAAAGGACCATAAGGAAGAAGAGAGAGGTAAGTTTAAATTAATAGAATAGGCTCATGCCTATAATCCCAACACTTTGGAAGGCCGAGGTGGGTGGATTACTTGAGGCCAGGAGGTCAAGACCAGCCTGACCAACATGAAGAAACCCTGTCTCTACTAAAAATAAAAAATTAGGTGGGTATGCTGGCACATGCCTGTAATGCCAGCTACTCAGGAGGCAGAGGAAGGAGAATCACTTGAACCCAGGAGTAGAGGCTGCAGTGAGCCAAGCTCACGCCACTGCACTCCAGCCTGGGCAACAGAGTGAGACCTCCTTCTAAATAAACAAACAAACCGAATAATGTTTACTTCTAGGCTCAGTTAAATGCATGCAAATTGAGAAACTGAGAACATGTGAGTCCCAAATTTCAAGTGAAATTCTATAAAAATTCTGGATGCAGATATGACAACTACAGGATATTAGAGAATCCACAGCTATAATCTACTACAGTTAAAGAAAGGGCACTAAAAAGGAAAACAATAGATTTACTCTTAACAGTTTGTAAAGTGTCAAGCAATTTTATACCTCCAAATTAAATATTTGAAATTTTGTATTTTTTTATTTAGAGACAGAGTTTCGCTCTTGTTGCCCAGGCTGGAAGGCAATGGCACAATCTTGGCTCACCACAGCCTTTGCCGCCAAGGTTCAAGCGATATTCTCCTGCCTCAGCTTCCCAAGTAGCTGGGATTATAGGCATGTACACCACGCCCAGCTAATTTTGTATTTTTAGTAGAGATGGTGCTTCTCCATGTTGGTCAGGCTGGTCTCAAACTCCTGATCTCAAGTGATCTGCCCCCCCTTGGCCTCCCAACGTGCTAGGATTACCGGCATGAACCACTGTGCCTGGCGTATTTGAAATTTTGATACTCATATTTAAATATTCACCAGGCATCTTTGTGCAAGATAGTCACAGAGACAGGGAGGCAACTAGGCTGGGTGCCTAGCTGTCAAATTTATATTGTTTTCCCAACACTTTGGGAGGCTGAGGCAGGCAGATCACAAGGTCAGGAGTTCAAGACTGGCCTGGCCAACATAGTGAACCTCTGTCTCTACTAAAAATACAAAAATTAGCCAGGCACGGTGGCGCATGCCTGTAGTCCCAGCTACTCGGGAGGCTAAGGCAGGAGAATTGCTTGAACTTGGGAGGCGGAGACTGTGGTGAGCCGAGATCATGTCACTGCACTCTAGCCTGGGCAACAGAGCGAGACTGTATCTCAAAACAAAAAAACTGACAACTAAGCTTCAGTTAGGACATGAAAACACTACATTTTAGCATTACTGCAAGCCTGAAACATTAAAAAACAAACTAAATCTCAAACACTATCATGGACCAAATAACATACGGCTGCAGACCAAATCCAGCAAGCTGTCAGCGAGTGACTTCTGATATAAAAGCTAAGGGAATAAATTTAAAGTACATTACAAGCAGACCCGTGGAATAAGTTTTCTAAGTTTTAAGGGTCCTTAAAGATTCAGTTTAACCTTTTTAATTTATAGGTAAGGAAAATGAAGATCAGAGAGTTAAAAACAAATAAATTTGGGTCTTGAGAATTACTTTTATCCACTAGAGCAGATTATTTAAGAATTTCCATGATAAGCAATACTTTATTATGTTCAGTTCTTTTACATACTTAAAAGGAAGAAAACATTTATATAAAAATCCTAAAATTCCACTTTTGCACTTAAATTCAGCCTTTTGATCCAATTTAGCAAACTTACTTTGCCATGGAAGGACAAACATTTCAAAAACAGTAACAAGAAGAAAAAATAATTAAAGCAAATTACCCATGTGTAACAAATTGGGTACATTTTTCAATATTGCATCTAATTTCCATTTGAAGTCTTTATCATCTATATTTCCTTTGAAGGCCACAAAAATTGTGGAATCCTCCAAAATACTATCACATTTTGTGTCATCATCTTCTAGTCCAGAGTCAAAATCCATCTCTGAGTCTTCCATTGTTGATGTACACAAGGAAGTATAGATGTCTTCTAAGTTTGGAAGGTCATCCAAAACCATGGTGAATATTATTCCAGAAGCATATGCCAAGTGGACAATAAGAAAACCTTTGAAAAGAGAAGATGCAAAAGAGCATTACAATGCATAATTATGCATTCAACAATGTACAATTCATAGTGCTGTGAAAATTATAATTTATTTGACAAGTAATAAGGAAATACTACAAAAATTAAGAAATTACAGAGAAGACAAACTTTTAATTATGATATTCTAAAACAATTAGTTCTTACAGTTACCAAAAATAAAAATATACCAGCTTTAAATTTAACATTCTTTTTATTATGTTACATGCTACCTTTTTGTAAGCCTACAATGTCGGGAGAAGAGAACAAAAAAATAACGAGAAAATAAAACAAGCGCATACTTTTTGAGAATTATAGGCCTTTGGTTGACCCCACAGAGCAAGGGGCTCCCCAAGACTCCCCCTACTTCTGTCCTGACAAAAGCTTAAAAGGAGCCAAAGTTTCTAAAGCCCTCCTCTTTCTCCAAACTACAAAGCACAACTGGACCCAACTAATAGCAACTAGATAATTACCTGAAATTCTGAAGTCTTCCATGAGCCATTTTAAACAACTTTTAAAGGGTTATTAATAGTGGAATGGCTGAAAATAATGATTCAGAAATAAACACTCAAAAATTCTTACATGAAAGGGCCGGGTACAGTGGCTCACACCTGTAATCTCAGCACTTTGGGAGGCTGAGGCGAATGGATTACTTGAGGTCAGGAGTTTGAGACCAGCCTGGCCAACATGGTGAAACCCCATCTCTACTAAAACACAAAAATTAGCTGGGTGTGGTGGTATGTGTCTGTAATTTTTTGTAGTTTTAGTAGAGATGGGGTTTTGCCGTGTTGCCCAGGCTGGTCTCAAACTCCTGAGCTCAGACAATCCACCCACCTCGGCCTCCCAAAGTGCTAGGGTTACAGGTGTGAACCGCCGTGTCCAGCCTTTTATGTCTTTATAGCACTTATTTATATTATTAAAGTATTATAAATTTTTACTTTATACCTGTAACTATAATTACAACTTTCTTTTAAAAAAGATGGATAAGAAAATTAATCCCCTAAAAAGCAACTATATTAGGTTGGTAGGATCATTGATAAATTTTATTTTCCTATTTTCCAAATATGCTGCAAATAACTAGGAAATATAAAACTATGTGGTAATATGGTTATATTCCTTGCATAAATGAAAAAAAGTAACTGAAAAACTCTAACTTTTTTTTTTAATTTATTTTTTTGAGACAGGGTCTTACTCTGTTGCTGGAATGCAGTGGCACAAACATGGCTCACTGCAGCCTCAACCTCCTGGGCTCAAGTGATCCTCTCACCTCAGCTTCCTAAGTAGCTGAGATTACTGGCATGTACCACCATGCCCAGCTAATTTTTAAAATTTTTTGTAGAGATGGCATCTTGCCATATCGCCCAGGCTGGTCTCAAACTCTACGGCTCAGGCAATCCTCTCACCTTGGCCTCCCAAAGTGCTGGGATTACAGGCGTGAGCCATCATGTCAGACAAGTTTTCTTTTTTAAATAGTGAGGCTGGAGGATGGCTTGAGGCCAGGAGTTTATCAATAGCCTGGGCAACATAGTGAGACCTTGTCTCTACAAAAAATTAAAAAATTAACCGGGTGTGATGGTGCATGCCTATAGCCCCCAGCTACACAGGAAGCTGA